AAGTACTACCAGCATAGGAAGTTAATTAAGAAAGGACAAAACAAAGATGCAACATTAAGTACTCTGAAAAGGATCAGTGGTTTCTTCATCGTATAATCAGTTCAAATTCAGACTCTTAACCTTATATTCCCAGAGGTTCTGTGGAGGTTTGACCCCGAGGGCTTTAACTCGGTCCAGTTCAGCCAGAACAGCCCGTCGGTGAGCCTGATTTTCGATGTTGTAAGGAGGTTTTAACAATTCTTCATCCCCCAGCATCAACAGCAGCCTAAAGCGAAGAAATCAACACCACATGGCATGAGAATACTGATCTACAGGATGATCTGTGACAGGGTAGTTTGTGCAAGTCTCAACTGCAACAGAGAGAACAATTTACTATAGTACTACAGGTGAAAGATGACAGTATACTCGGCTCAGTTGTTTTGGAGCATTATAACAACTACATTTAAGAATCGGAACAAGTAAAGCAAATGTCATTTATCTACCTCCCATTGACGTTCTCCTGCATGAAGGGTTCTCTGTAAAGCTGAGCCCAGGGACCCAGGTGATCCAGCCAGGACACGACTTCCTCCGGCGTCCAGCGATCCACGGGTTTACTGATCAACGGGTCGTGCTGGTCGACCGCACCACTGCTCCAGTGATACACCAGCACCATCGCCTGGAAACACACAGATATTAACAAACACTGTTCAGTAAACACTTGTTTACCCTCCAACAGGGTACATTATGAATTTAGATTAGATTTAGAAAAGCTGTTGTTGGTGAATCAACCATTGCCAGTAGAGGTCACTATGTGACTTAGACCTGCAGCAGCATGACTCATCAAAGTATAACTATAAACATAAATCTGCCATTACATTTTTGTATGATTTGATAAAATATGATGATTTGAATCATATTCATGTCACATTTTTATAAACCATTATTTACTCATTTCCACTGATATGAGCATTCATTGCTTAACAGTGTGCACAGCTGTGTTGACCAAGCTCTGTAAGGCTGCTGATGTGTGTTTCTGCAGGTTTTCTGTCCTGTTAAGTGGTAAGAAAATAAGCACATAATGTGACAAGATCTTCAGAACAAGGTCGCTTTATTAAAAAAACAAAACAAAAACCGCCATGCGAAGAAAACCTGTCCCCACTGCCGGGGAATTCTTCATTAAGTTACCTCTGTGTACATTTAGCTTTACAGCTTGACAGTTAAAAACACTCAATCCTGTGCATAATAAATGTAAACATTCATGGATAAAGTGAACATGATCAATAAAGTAAAAGCTGTAAAGAGGAAAATATCTTTAAAGTTTTGGAAATCAAAGGGTAACACTTGGATGAAGTTACTGTATGATGATGATGATGATGATGATGATATGTGATGTTTTCCAGCACGTGAGCCAAGGCAAACACTGTCAGAAGCAGCCAAAACAAACTTGCACATAAGCTCGGGCCCCCTTTCTTAAAATGAGCTGATTCATTTGTGAACTAGGGTCAAAAATGAAACATGCTGTAATCTATTTACACTCTCACAGCAGCACACACACACACACACACACACACACACACAAATGTACTGCCACGCGGCAAAACACACACTGACGTTGCTCCCGAGTGCCACATGGACAAAATCAACATGGTCTGTCTACATGATATGAAAAAACCGACCTCTTCATCCTCTGCCCCGGTGACTTGAACATCATTTTCTCCAAAAGGTTCATTTTGGAATACCGGAGTAAAAAGGTAGGCCAAGGATAAAAAAAAAACAACTCTCATATCTAGAGATATTATGTATTGTATCACGCAGCGTAATACTGATAATGGTTACTGTGTCTCATACAGTATGACTCATTTACTAATCCACTAATGCAAACTGATTAAACGTATCACAGCATTTGGTTTGATTAAACACTGTAGCTATTAGCAACACTTAACCACAACAAACTGCAATGACCATCACAGAAAAATAGGTTTCTATGCCAAACTTCGTCGAGAGCCAGGTCTTAACAATAAGAAAGGAAAATCACAGTCACGCCATTCACTATAAAAAGGAGTCATAATGCACAACATAATATATTAAACATGAATGGTGAGGTTGTTTTTTACTGCCCTAAATACTTACAGCCACACATGTGAGTGCAGTTAGGACTCCAGAGAAGAAGAAGCCGGCTCCTTTGTGCTGGTTTGTCCTGGATCTACCCAAGTTGTCACCATACCTAAAAAACAAGTCGATGTTTAATGGATGTCGGTTTCAGTCCATTTTTTTTCCAAATCATCATCGTTCTTATCAAAGGGGAACCGATTTTACACAAAGTCTGTTTAAAAGTCTTTTGGGGGGTACGACTACATATGAGAAAGAAAAGTTTGTTTCTTCAGAGGGAGCTGCGCAAAGGCTGCCAAACTTCTCCTCACTTGAGTTTAAAACCGGGTGAGATGTGCGTTTACCAGACCACTGCAGCCCGCTCCTTATCTCTGTTTGAAGCTAGTGGCTCGAGGCTACAGAGGCTGCCACAAGCACAACCACACCTGAATCTACACTCACATCTCACTGCTCGGTTCTGATTTATTGCTCAGATCTGCATCAGAAAGGTCACAGGCTTTAGTGACGCACACGATGGATGTCAGTCTACAGCGACGTAAAAGTCAGGTGAACTATGATTTCTCTCTTTTTTCATACTGAGGTGCAAAAGATCAAACCTGTATCCGTTTTGGACCATCCAGAGTTTGACACTGACACTCTCTTTACATAATAATAATAATACTGTGCTACCTCTGGAAGGCCAGCAAGCTCCGGGAGATTTTGGGGTTAGCCTGGATCTCGGATCTCCTCCGTTGAACGACCTCACTGAACAGTTTTTCAGTTGCATCCCTAGAGAGAAGAGCATGACGTTAGCGAGTGCAATTAGTAGATGAAAGTGAAATGAGGGGAACAGACAAAGGACGGGGGAAAATTGTTTAGCATCGACCAACCTGACCAAGCTGATTAGTGCTAACTTGTGTCAGAGGAGCACATGGAATGAAATTGGTCGGCTTCTCCTTCACACTTTGCCTCCTTTATTACAGGCGGCACGTCTTTAAGTGTGATGCATCACAACGCCAGGTGTAAGTGCAGACGCTGAGATGATTTCTACACATCGATCGGCCGTAACATTATGAGCACTGACAGTGAATAACACTGATGATCTGGTTATCATGGCTCCTGTCAGTGGGTGGAAGATATCAGGCAGCGAATTAACATTTTGTCCTCAAAGTTGATGAGTTAGAAGCAGGAAAAATGGGCAGCGTGAGGATTTGAGCGACTTTGACAAGGGCCAAATTGTGATGGCTAGACGACTGGGTCAGAGCATCTCCAAAGCCCGCAGGCTCCTGTGGTGTTCCAGTCTTGCAAGAGGTTTCATAAACCTATCGAAGTGGTCCAAAGGAAGGAGAGACATCAGGCTAAAACTTGATGGTCGTGGGACAAAGGCTGCCGTGTGGCAATCCAACAGACGAGCTACTGTAGCTCAGACTGCTGTGGTTGATATTCTAACATTCATACATATTTCTGAGGGCCTATTTCACATAGGAGAAAAGCCTAAAGTAGCCTAAGCAGTAAAGGAGCTGGAGTACTTTTAGTTCAAATTCAGCTTTCTACACATGGTGCTTTGAGCCAGCGTGATGCATTGTTTTCTTGTGGTGACAGCAAAAACACCAAACCTAGTGCAGCACTAACCTAACCAACCTTTTAGTGCACAATCAACAGTTATTGTATCCTAAAAATAATCATGCACCCAACTTCCCTGATCATTTGTGAACCTGAAAAAAAATTAAGCGAATTGTGGTTTTGTGCTCATTAACTCCAAACTAACTTCACTAAGCTGTTTATGTGCTCTGTTGAAATTGAGCCATTTCAGGTCTGCGTCTTTTCAGTTCGGTTTACTTGAGAGTCCAGCAGACAT